TGGGTCAGGGCCGTGTGTCCGATGCGCAATCGAGTAAAAATGACTTCGTCTCTTCTGGAGAGGTCCGAAGGATTTCGCTGTTCCAGTTTGGTTTTGATAAAATACAGTTTATTATTTTTCTGTTTTTCCCAGTGGCTCTCCCACAGACTGGACTTCTGATCAATAATCTCTATTATTATTATTATTATAATTGTTATTATCATTGTACCGACAGGACTGCAGAGGACCCCAGACGGACATCATCATGAGCTGTAATACCTCGTGTGGACTCAGCGAGAGGACTCGGAGACTGATGACGTATTTCGGCATGTTCGTCAACAACTTTGTCTGCGGGGTGCCAGTGAGTTTAACTATATGAACACAGAAACATCAATTTACACTATTAAAAAATAATAAAACAAAGTGAGCAAGCAAAAGCACTATAACGTAAGCCAGCAATTTCGATAACGCGAGCATGCAGGCTCGAATGAATTTTCTCACAGTATTTTGCTGACACATGTAGAGGACTTCAAAGGACCCAGTAATGTTCCTTAGCATTTCTCGCTGAGATATAATTATTAGAGACGCTGCAAAAATATCTGCATTAAAGCTTTCTTACTCCCACTAGTTGTTTCATAGCGATAAGCCTTCTCTATGTTCTCGGCCTAACGTCTAGTCTGAAGACAACATGCATCACAATATTTTAATTTTACCCTGATGGGCCGAAAACAAATATACTTACAACCAATGATTCGAGAGTGGTCACTAACTACATCATCGGCACGGACCGCAGACCTATGCTTACCCTCTCCACCAACTATGTAAAGCAAGCAAAGAAAAACAGGGGGAAACGACGATCAACCTTAGAAAATTTAAAGAACCATACATCAAGAAGGCAACTGAGGACGACATTAAAACCCAGGAAGAGGAAGGCTACTCAAAAGGTGGATGGAGGGCGTCAAGGAAACCCTGAGAAACCACAATGTCCCAATTGAAAGTGCCGCAACAGGTGTAGTTTTTATAATTACCATCATCACTTTTATCTCTATCCTCCTTAGCTGTACTACGGGAATCTACTGACATACACAGACTCGTACTTCCTGGTGAGGCAAGAAGCGGACATCTCCAACCTGTCGGCCTACACACTAGCTACCTGGAACATTGTTTGGGTGGCCTCCATAGCAGCCTCGGACAAAGGTGCGTGAAGGAGATCGCTGTTAATGGGGAGGGAGGGGTGGGTTTTTTTTGTTTGGCTGTTGTTTTTGTTTATTCTTCATACACCCCATCATTTGTTTGTCTGCATGCATGTGTCGCTCTCTCTCTCTCTCTCTCTCTCTCTCTCTCTCTCTCTCTCT